TATTTTAGACTGAAAGTAGGGCTTAAATTTTGACCCGGGTCTGTTTTCATAAATATTATACATCAATAAAAATTAAAGTAAAAAGCAATTTTTTAAAAGCGAATTAATATAATGAAACTTTTTCTTAATTTGATTGGAAAATTCCCAGCTTTTTCCAGTTTTCCCCGTTTGGTAGTTACCCTGTTAAATGTATTAGTAGAAACAAAAAACTGTCGTAGACGGGTACGACAGCTAGTAATATAATCTATATTTTATATGAACTTAAGAAAGAGTATTTTCATAAAAATAAGTAAATTTTTATAGCCATTTGTAGATTTATTTATGGATAAAATCAAGTAAATTTAAATTTAACAAAAAAAAGATAAACCGTGAAAAAGGACAAAGCAGGAAATTTTGTTAAATAAAATAGACACCGTGTTAACTTTTGTCTTTACATTGCTCAAAACATCTCTAAAAGTTAAATCTAGAGTTAAAATAAAAAAAACGTTTTAACATATAAGTTTTTGCCTAGTGGCATATAATATGCTTGTATTGTATCAGAGGTGACTTACAATTTCTTGACATCCTGCAATATCATTTTAATCATAAAAAATTTGCATTTTCAATATTTCTGAAATTCTTGAAAATATTAGATTAATTTGATAAATAATTCTCAATTACACTATTTTTACGTCAAAATAATAATCAAAGACTCCAAAAATACTACTGAATTAAACTTCATAGTAATTAGTATCGATTTTTTGATATTGAAAATATTTTTATATTTACTTATAGGATAGTATTTTTTGCAAAATTATGCTAAAATCTGACTAAATAACATATAATATTGAATTTTAGAAAGTTTAAAAGCTATCCATTAAAAATGTGAAATTTGGAAATTTTCCATTTTTTCAAGTTTTTGAAAATATTTTTATATTTACATCTTAGTTATAGGATAGTATTTTTTGCAAAATTATTCTAAAATGTGACTGAATAACATGTAATACTCAAATATAGAAAGATTAAAAGCAATCCATGAAAAATGTAAAATTTTGAAATTTTTGATTTTTTGAAAACATTTGTATACTTACATATTAGTTATAGGACTTTATTTTTTGCAAAATTATGCTAAAATGTGACTAAATAACATGTGATACTCAAGTATAGAAACTTTAAAAGCAATCCATGAAAAAATTAAAAATTTTGAAATTTTCGATTTTTTGAATTTTTTGAAGAAATTGAATATCTCCCGTTCTAATTAATATTTTTTAAATCTGTAAATTTATAAACCTTCCTTGGGTCAATACCTAATAACCTACCAAGTTGGACTTAAATCGATTTACATGTTTTTGTGTGATTGGGGTACAAAGTTTTTGTGACAGACATACGTACATACATACGTACATACATTAAATTTTTTAAGAATATTTTTGGAATCCCTGATGTCCATAATAACTAATCATGTTAACATTTTGAAGTTTTAAGCAATGTACAGACAGACATCTGATTTTATTAATAAGGATAAAATTCTTCTCCGAAATTCAATTATTTAAAAAAAATTTTAATAAAATTTTTGTTAAAATTTCAATTATCGTTATAAATAAAAAAATTCTTCTCTGATGAAATTCAATTATTTGCAAAGAGTTTTAATAAAATTCTTGGCAAAATTTCAATTATCTTTATAAATAATAAAATTCATCCTAGAAACTCAATTATTTTCAAAAATTTTTTTTAAATTCTCCTCAAAATTTCAATTATTTTTATAAATATCAAAATTCTTCTGCAAAATTCAACTACTTTTAAATAAATTAAAAAAATTCTTGTCAAAATTTCAATTATCGTTATAAATAATAAAATTCTTCTCTGAAATTCATTTATTTTCAAAAGTAATAATATTCTTCACAGAAATTCAATTATATTCAAAAAAAATTTTTTAATTTCTCGTCGAAATTTTATAAATAATAAAATTCATCATGAAAATTTAATTATTTTCAAAAGTTCTGATCAAATTCTTTGCAAAATTCAATTATCTTCAAAAGTAAAAAAATTCTTACCAGAAATTTATTCATTATAAAATTTTTTTTTTTTAAATTCTCACGTTCATAAAGTTCCGAACGTTCAAATGAACGAAATTAATTTATTTCTTTTTCAAATTAAATTTTTATTGCAATAATTTTTCGTCCATTTAAAAAAAATTAATGGTGAAGTTTTCAAATATAAAATTAAAGTTATTTTATTTTCGTTGCAATCAGTAATTGAAAAAAATATTTTTGATAAAAAATATTTCGTTCATTTGAACATTCAAAACTTGTGGACCATAAATTCTCCTAAAAATTTCAATTATCTTTATAAATATCAAAACTTTTTTGCAAAATTCAATTACTTTTCAACATTAAAAAAAAATCTGTTAAGAATTTCAATTATTTTTAAAAAAAGTAATAAAATTCTTCTCTGAAATTTAATTATTTGTAAAAATTTTAATAAAATTCTTGTCGAAATTTTAATTATCATTATAAATAATAAAATTCATCATAGAAATTCAATTATTTACAATATTTTTTTAAATTTCTTGTCAAAATTTTATAAATATAAAATTCATAATGAAAATTTAATTATTTTCAAAAATTCTGATAAAATTCTTCGCAGAAATTCAATTATTTTCAAACATTTTTTTTTTAAATTCTCCTCACAATTTCAATTTTCTTTATAAATATCAAAATTCTTCTGCAAAATTCAATTACTTTTAAACATTTTTAAAAAAATCTGTTCAAAATTTCAATTATCTTTATAAATAACATAATTCTTCTCTGAAATTCAATTATTTGTAAAAATTTTAATAAAATTCTTGTCAAAATTTCAATTATCGCTATAAATAATAAATTATTCTCTGAAATTTATTTATTTTCTAAACTAATAAAATTCTTCGAAGAAATTCAATTATATTTAAATTTTTTTTTAAATTTCTCGACAAAATTTTATAAATCATAAAATTCATCGTGGAAATTTAATTATTTTCAAAAGTTCTGATAAAATTCTTTGCAAAATTCAATTATTTTCAAAAGTAATAAAATTCTTCGCAGAAATTCAATTATTTTCAAAAATTTTTTTTTAAATACTCCTCAAAATTTCAATTATCTTTATAATAATCAAAATTCTTCTGCAATAAATAACATAATTCTTCCCTGAAATTCAATTATTTGTAGAAATTTTAATAAAATTCTTGTCAAATTTTCAATTATCGTTATAAATAATAAATTCTATTCTGAAATTCATTTATTTTCTAAAGTTATAAAATTCTTCGAAAAAATTCAATTATATAATCAAAAATTTTTTTAAATTTCTCGACAAAATTTTATAAATAATAAAATTCATCATTGAAATTTAATTATTTTCAAAAGTTCTGATAAAATTCTTTGCAAAATTCAATTATCTTCAAAAGTAAGAAAATTCTTCGCAGAAAATCAATTATTTGCAAAATTTTTTATTAAATTCTTCTTAAAATTCCAATTATCTTTGTAAATATCAAAATTCTTCTGCAAAATTCTATTAATTACTGTTTTATAAATTTCTTCCCAATAATTTAATTATTTTCATAAAAAATAATTAAAAATTTTTTTTTTATAAAGTCTTGCAATGTAAAATAATGATTTTATCACTCGGTCATCTTTAATTATTATAAAACATGAAGACATCGATTGCTCCGAGTCGAAGGTTCGGAGTGATCGATTTCTTCATGTTTTATAAGAATTTTTTATAAGTTGTTTAATTTCAAAAAGGTTTGAATTTGAATCTTTTGGAAAATTTTAATTCCCCTGGAAAAATAATAATTAAATATTTATTTAAAAAAGAAGTTATTGATGTTTTCAAAAAATTTAAAAGAAATTTGTAAATAAATGTAACAGAACATTTTTTTGACTAAAACTTATTCCTTTAATTTTCTAAAAAAAATTTTAATTTAAGTCGCATTTTACTAAAAGAAAATCTCAAAAAAGTCGATTAGTCGCATTTTTTCACAAAAAAGTCACATTTCCTTGGAAAAGTCGAAAAAAGTCGTTAAAGTCGCACAATCCGGGCTCTGTATTTTTCCATCTAAACTGTTGATTACAAATGTAAATGTTATTAAATTTTTATTCATTGTGGATATATTAATTTATTTATGGACCAATAAATTAATTCCCAATTGGTGGGGAAAAATTGATCATTTGATAAATGCTGATTTAAAAATAAAAATTATTTACCGTTATTATTGTGATAGAAAGGTATAATTTTTTTTTCTATCATTAGGCGTTCATTCAGAGAAATTAAATATGCACGATATGTGCGTGTAAACGTTTAATTATTGAAGAAAGAAGAAAAAAATGCTGAGAGTAAATTTGTTATTCATTTTATATATGACAATTTTATTGCTTGAAATTCCTCGAGTAGTTGTGTGCTTGTGTACCTGTTTTGTGGACCTTTGACTTGAAAGATTGATATAGTGTTAGTTTTCTGCCTGTCGTTTTATTTCATTTTGTTATAGGGCGTGTGTGTACCAATGCCACTCAAGACAGTTCACACCTATATACTCGCCACTAAGTAGAAAGTTACGTTATTGCCTATAGATTGTCAGGTGAACCGACAACCAGATATCTCTGTAATTAATTACCATGCTAATGATCTGATTGCGCACAATGATAATCAATAATGGTAATATTCAATGTTAATCACCTATTGTTAGCATCTTCCTCTTAATTACCAAATGACAAGTGATTATATATTTGCTATGATCCTAAAGTTCTGAACGTTCAAATGAACGAAATTTATTTATTTTCTTCTTTAATTTAAATATTTATTACAATAATTTTTTGTCGATATAAAATAAATGAATTATAAAGTTTCTAAGTGTAAAATTTAAGTTTTTAATTTTTATTGCAAACAATAAATTATCAAAACATTTCTAATAAAAAGTGTTTCGTTCATTTGAACGTTCAAAACTTGTGGATCATCGTTGCACCTGTATTTTTCCTATTGGTTAACAGTACATCTATTCACTGATTAAGAATTCTTTCTTTTCATTCGCAACTCGTTACACCTGTAGTTGTTCCACTGGTCAATGGAACATAAAATTTAGAGATATTCTTAATGTATAATATTAAATATGACAAATAACAAAGTTGGCAAATTGCGTTACATTTATTATTCGGTTACGTGGCACTAAGTTTGAAACAGAAAATAAATCTTGAAGTTCGTCTGATTATTCCTGTGTATTAAATATACGAATAAGTTTCACACCAAGGAGGTAAGCGAATATAATTTTAAAAATCAAATTAATATTTATTTGAATTATTCCGTCAGTAATATTTACAAATTGTTAATTAGTACTGCTTAGCATAACAGAAACAGCGCTCCCCCTCTTTCTGTAGTACCAATTTTTAATAATTTTTATTTCATTTGTAATTTATTTTTAAATTAGATGTTATAAAACCGCTAAAGCGTGCTACTTATTGTATAATTAATTTACAATCACAATTACTTTAAAATTAAAATTAGCAAATTATAGGGCTCGGATCGAAATGATGAAATGTTGCATTTTTAAAAAAAAAGTCGAAAAAATTTTCACAATCCGAGCCCTGGAATTATTTATTGTGACATTATATTCTCAATTACTCAATAGACTGAAATTTAATTACAATATTGGTCTAGTCAATAACTTTGTATAATTTTCAGAGCTTTAGGTATCTACTGGAAAAAGTTGCAATACATTGTTTATCAATCATGATAAGACTTGCAATAATCTTCTTTCTACTCTTCATTATCGAAAGCGAAAGTTTTCAGTTTAATCTTGAAGAGTTAAATAAATTAAGACAACTTTTCAATGATTCGGATCGTCGTATGGAAGAAGCAACTCGAGGTCAAAGGAAAAATGCGGCAATTGTCATAGGCAATGGAAGAGGGGGCAAAAGTACACTAATTAATTACATAATGGGAAATGAATTGGAAGCTAATAGACCTCACACATTTGAGAATATTAAGATAACTAAAGCTAACAACAATATCAAAGGACCAGAAATTGGTGCTGGATCATTGTCAACAACTACAATTCCCACAAAATGGAGCTCAACAAGGCCAGAATTACAGAATTTGGACATCTGGGATACTGCTGGATTTGCGGACAATAGAGGTGTAATGCAAGATTTCAACAATTCCTTTCATCTCTATCATTTGACAAGAAAAGTCGAAAATCTAAAACTTATTTTAGTTATCAGTTTTAATGAAATTATTAATGACAATGTTGAACAGGTGAGAAAACTTTTAAGTAGTTTAGAAGAATATTTTACTATTTATAGGTTTAGAACCTTTTTTCCAAGCATATCAGTAATTATCTCAAAAGCACCTAAATCCGATGATTATGATAATTTAGTCGATCATGAATACATAACTGATATATTATTTGACAGATTATTATCAAATCCAAAAATGGATATATCCGAAGATTCAAAACAATTTGTACAGAATATAATAAAGAATAACAATCGTTTAGCCTTCTTCAAGAAAGCACAACAAACTGGGATTGTTACTTCTGATATCGATGTTAATATTATTCCAGCTATTAATAACTGCAAGAGAATAATCAAGTCATGTCGCCAAGATATGGGCTTTACATTTTCACCACAATCAAAAAGCAGCCTAAAGAATCACACTGGTACGCTGGACATAAATGAAATTACAGACTTTGGGAAGATACTGTGCAACTCGTTCGATGAAAAGTTCGCTGCCTCTTGTCAATCCAAAGATACTAATACTTTGCAAACCAATAAAGCCGATTTGAATAGAATCTACGAAAGCTTGAATCCTTTGAGCAATAATCCTGATCCAGAGGTTAAAATTCAAACTCTGGAAATGATTAGTGATAATCTGAAAAATTTCAACAAAGAAAATGATGTGGCGAATAAAATAAGTCTAACTAAATTCATTGATTTCATACTTAAAGAAGATAAAATGCTTGATGTAATTAAACTAGTGAATTCTCTTTTTACATCCGTAAAAGTGAAAATCGAATCATTGTTTACATCATGTTCATATAAATTAAATGAAATAACAAAGGATGAATATGACAAAGAAAATGCTACAAATGCTGAGAACTCAAAAAAAATAGTAAATAATCTGAATGATTATATAATAAAACGCGTTATACCTTCAGACAAAAAAAGCGGTTGGAGAAGATTTCTGGATGTCCTTACAACCTTTCTTAAAATGGAAGTGAGTACTTCTATTGTTTACCTTAATCGACTGTAAACTATCAAAGATGATATCGTTTAATGTATGTAAACAAACGTTTTACATTAATATTAAAAAATAAATTTAAAAATTTTTAAAAAAATATCGATTTTTCACTTTTTATTTCTGATTTATACCTACTCTGCCTAGTAATTTCTAAAATTAACGTTTAACGATAATTGACGGGAAATTTTAATCCAGAATACTAATACTTTTTCTAATCCAAAAACAGATTTAAAACTTTTATTCAGAAAAAGTTGTCAGATTATATTTAACATTATATTCTGATTAGAGTAACCAGAATTCTTTAGTTAATTTAACGAGACTTTTTTTCTGATATTGTAACAAATATGTCATTTCTTGCGTAACTTGCTCAAACTCAAACTGATTAGGTTCTGCTCGAAAAACGAAAAGCTCGAAAATACTCGATCGAGCTTCGAGCTTTTTGCACACCTCTAATAATTTTCAAGTAAAAAAATACACTTTTGACATAAACAATATAATTTTAGAGTAAATAATACACTTTTAAAATAAAAAATATAATTTAAAAAAAGCAAGTTTTTAAACAACAAATATAAGATAATTGAGCAAATTATCATATAGGAATAGTTAATGTATGAATTTCTATACGAAATATTGTTGAGAATCGAAATGTGAATGTTGGCAAAATGTGTATATATATATAATATATAGTGAATCGTGTGCCACGAAGCATCAGGTTCACTTGGGACACAAATACAATTGCAATCGCTAACCGGTATGCATGTGAATGAGTCTTAATAATTTCGTGGGTATGAGTAACGTGCACTGTTTTGTATGCAAAGCAATGTATAATACTGAAGTCCGCAACGTTTTTAAAAACGAAAACGAAAAAATAAAGGGACGGTTTTTTTATTTTTGATTCTAAATCATATTAATTTTTAATAATTGTATCTTAAGCAACAATTAATTTCTTAAAAATTAAGAAACATGAAAATTAGAGATGAATTTAACTTGGAAAAAAATTCTTTTTTGATTTTTCGTTTTTAAAAACGTTGCAGACTTCAGCTTCATAAGCAATGTCCTGTCTTCTGAGACGACGCCAGGCGCACCTCACACTTTATACACAAAATATATACATACACAAGTTGTTACTTACAGCTTCTCTAACAAGAAGATACTTCTCACTAACTAACTAATGCCGACTAAGTAAAACCAAATTCACCCAAAATAAATTTTCCCAAAGGGAAATTCTTTTCTTCCTATTTTTGTTCATTTACACTTTTAGATTTTCTTTTATTATAGTATTTTTTTTAGGATTTTCCTACTTTTTAGTTTTTAGTACTTTTGTTTAGAATTTCTACTTTTTATTGTTCTAAAAAAAAAATTAAACACTGTTTTATTTCTTGTAAATTTTAAATTTTGTGAATACTTTAACGACACAGTGAACAACGTTTTATGAATGAACGAATTCCTAGAACTATTTCGAATTCACGGTGGTCCAAAAGTGGACCAGAAAGTACGGATTAACGACTCGTAATCAGCTACTTGTTGGCTGTCTGTATTCACATTGTTTTCAACTCCTCTACGAAAGTATCACGATTTACAAATTTTAAGACGACCATCTTCTTCTAAAAGAAGAAATAAAAATCTCTCAAATAAAAATCCCAAAAGTCCTAATGGAATAACGTAGAAGAATTTTAAAAGTTTTTTTTTATCCTCAAAATCTTTTCTTTTTTAACACTAAATTAAAAAAAGCAAACATCAAAAAATAATGATGAATTGCTTGTAAAAACTGTTTAAAATGTTTGTTCAAATTTTATTCAATAATTTGTTATTTAATAATATTTAATATTTATATAAATAATAATTATTGAAGTAAACAGTAAATAGTAAATAATAATTTACAATTTTAATTTTAAACTATAATGTAATTTAAACACGATTTTTGAAAATAGTTCACCCATTTTTATTTGTTTTATTATATAATAAACAATTAATTAATGTAATAAACAAAACTAAATTAATAAAATTATTTATAAATTATAAATTAAATCCTAACTTGATTCTAAATTATAATTGAAATTGTAAATCAAAAATAATAATAATAAATAATAATAAAGAAATAAAAAATATAAAACAAAAAATAAATTTTTCGAAAAGCAACAAATATTAAAATATAAAATATACAAATAGGAATAAAAATAATTACTTTTCGAAAAAATTTATATACACTCTAAATCTGAATCAGTGAAAATTTCACTGATTTCAATTCAGTGGTCCAGTTTTCTTTGATGAATCAGTGGTTTTTACTGATTCTCAGTGAAATCCCACTGATGAATTAAAGAAAACTGGGCCACTGAATTGAAATCAGTGAAATTTTCACTGATTCAGATTTAGAGTGTACCTCTCCTCCATAAATCAAATATAAATATTGGTCAAATTTCTAAAATGTAGAATGACTCAAAACACAGAAGAAATAAACTCTCGTCCAAGAAAATATATTTAAAAAAAATAAATAATAAAATACCTTTTTTTGTATTTTCTTTTTTTGTATAATTTCTTCTTTTTTGTAGATAAAGAAATATTGTTAACTGATATTGAATTTAAAAGGTGGTATTATATATAGCGACGAAGGGATCAACCATTTGCAACTATAAGATGAAATAGACCGACCAATTTATGGGAGACCTTTCTAAAAGAAAAAAAAGGAAAATCCTCCTCTGACAATATAAACGTCAAGAAAAACTTGTTTCTCTGGGTCGCGTTGTCGTTAAAAAAAAGGAAAAATTACCGTAATCCCACATTTCCGACTTCTGCGCGCATTCCCGTGTAGAAAAATTTCTTGGCGCTAGCTAGCAGTGCTAGATACATGCTAAATTTACATGCAGTCTAGAGCTGCTAGCTAGCGCCACGAAATTTTTCTACACGGGTTGTACAATATAATTTCACCCGGAAATGTTTAAATTGTTGCTAGTAAATATAATAATAGGAAAATTTAGAAACAAAAATATTGTGTTAAAATTTTTATACAGTCAAATATTTAAATAGCAACATTTTTTTAATTTTTTAATAATAGTATCAATAATAAGAAAATAATTTTAGAATAATAATAAAACAATAATAATAATAATAATAATAATAATAGTAATAGTCTATAAATCATTCAGAGGCGATTTTCCAACTAGAAATATCAATTTTCCACGACTGAAAAAATTGACAAATTAGAAACAACTGATCTAGTTTTGTTTTTATATTGAATATTAAAAAAAAAGAAAAGAAAAATTCGACGGAAATTCTGAGAGCAATAAAAGTTATGTCGACACATATATTTCCATAGCCGGTTTTGTAAATCATAACTTGTTCACGAATCAAATATATAAACCAATAAGTTTTCACTTTTTTGCGAGTGCAAGTTACGTCAAACCGTAACTAAGTTAATAAAATTAATAATTAATGGTTCCTTTTTGTAGCGTAATAATAATTAAAAGCGTATAAAAGATCAAAACTATAAATAGTGTAAAAGTTTCATTAAAATTTAAGCGAACACATCATTTTAAATTACTCTTTTCTCATGCTCTTTATTTTTTATTATTTTCGCGAGAAACTATAAATAAAAAATTATCGAAAATTGTGTAACAATATTTTAGCAGATTTATAATTTCTCAATTAATATTAATTATAATATCAATAATTGACAATTATGTAAAAAATTATGATCCTAAAGTTCTGAACGTTCAAATGAACGAAATTTATTTATTTTCTTCTTTAATTTAAATATTTATTACAATAATTTTTTGTCGATATAAAATAAATGAATTATAAAGTTTCTAAGTGTAAAATTTAAGTTCTTAATTTTTATTGCAAACAATAAATTATCAAAACATTTCTAATAAAAAGTGTTTCGTTCATTTGAACGTTCAAAACTTGTAGATCATTATTTGCTGAGAAAAAATTTATTCCAAAACTAAAGATAAGCCAAAAAAAAACCATAAAAATAAGTTAAATAAATAATAAGCTAAATAAATTATTTAATATTTAATTTATTATTTATTTTATTTAACATGTCCTTGATTTCTCATTTGGTAATTACTGCGGATGATATAATTCTCAATTCAGCAGATAGTTAAGTCATTATATTGTAATTCTATTTCCGGCTGGAGGATTTTTCAGTTCTGGAAAAAGAGAAGCTTGAGAATCCAAGGTGCACTTTTTTTTCTGAAAAATTAGAACGGGATTTTATTTTAATGAGACGCTATCATTTGTATAGGGTGTCAATTAGAACTGTTTAGCTTTGTCATAGTCCGACTTGATAAACACGGGAAATGGATTTTAGTTTTTCTGCGTTATTTACTCTTGAAATGGATTTAATTACACAACCTTCCTCAATTTTAAAGGCATAAAAATATAGTTTATTGACATTTTTTTTAAATGTCCTTTGCAATTGTTTTTTCTTTAAATGTCTTGTTTCTTTTATTTAAACATTTTCGAAAATTACTGTTTACTAAGAATGAAAAACCCCTTAAAAACTTAAGGAATAATTTTTTATTATTTTTCAAAACAGCCTCTATAAAAAATTAAAAACGTTTTTTGAGAATTTTCAAATTCATTTTTGTTTACAATTCAATTTTAAGAAATTTTGATTATTCGGAAATTCTTCAATTAAATATATATATTATAAAATAAAAACTTGAAATAATTTTAAAATAAAATTCAATTAGTTTTAAAAAACAATTATTTCTACAGAAATTTCAATTAAAAATATGAAAAATTCAGAATTTTAAAGATTTTAATTCGAAATCTTTTCAAAATTCAATTATTTTTAAAAATCCATGCTATACACTATAAAAAAAATCTCACTTTCAGTCTCTTTTTGGCTAAAACCGTTTACATTAGAAACATTTTTAACTAATTTTATTATTTTTGAAAATATTTAAGGGGTTACGCCACCCTGAACGCATGAAAATCGGATGGTTTTTTAGGAATTTTTTTGATAAAACTGTTTCAGGTAGGACTTCTTTACATTTATTGATGCTTTAGTACATATATTGAGCTTTATAAATATTTTAAAAAAAATTGTTTTTAATTAAAAATGGCGGAGA